ACGGACATTTTCGAGCGTGAATAATACGAAAACAAGAGCAACTGTCACTGCAACGGCGATGACAATTCGATAGGCACTGTCTACACTCACTTTAAATTTATCTATGTATTTCAACCAGCCTCAGCCGGTACAGCCACCTACCGGAAAACGGCGGAAGCAAAGTTGTACACCTGATACTTACACACTTCAGGCGAAAGTTAATACACCATTTCGTGTACATCAAAGCTTTAATTTTTTTTTCTGTAGAGAAAAGTCCAAAAAGTCAATTAATTAGTCGAACTAAATTTATTGTGTTGCAGAAAAGCTTCAATTGCTACATAATAATTTATTTTATAAATCAAAACGAATTTGAACTAATACACCACGAAAGAGGAATGACAAAGCTATGATTCCATCGTCCGAATATTCCTGGTATTTGCACTTTTTTTTGTTATTGGCGCCTTGGGTGAACTGTCTTTTGATCAATAAACTGAAGTATGAAGCGATTCTTTGCAATTTCTCTGACCTTTTATTATAAACGTGGGAACATATTTATACATTCTCTGATTTATATAATAAATATAAAAATGTACATGAGTAAATTGAATTTCTCACTTTGCGGAATCTTTATCGGATTCTCAGTCTATTGTTGCTCTCTTAAATGTCGCTGTCTTTGATACTTTTGTTTACAAATTATTATTTGATTTATTAAGGTTGATGTGTTGATGTGTGTACATACATCCATTTGTACATACATATATATCATATAATATTTGCGTATGCACATATTTTCGATTAAATGTATGAAGATGCAAATTGACAATTTTAAATTTTACGAGAGAAGTTGCTCTGAGCTTTTCAGTTATAAAAAAATACATTTATAACAATTTGTTAAAATGATTTAAACTTAATGAATATATACTAAAAAATATTTTTTTGTAAAAATAAACAATGCTATTTTATTATATTTTAAATTAACAAAAAAAATTAGAAAAAAAAAATAAATAAAAAAATTAAAAAACAAAATTAGGAAAAATAATTAAAAAAAAAGTTTAAAAAAAAAATTAAAAAAAAAATTAAAAAAAAAAATTAAAAAAAAAAAATAGAAAAAAAAATTTAAAAAAAAATTAAAAAAAAAATTAAAAAAAAAATTAAAAAAAAAAATTAAAAAAAAAAAATTAAAAAAAAAAAATTAAAAAAAAAAATTAGAAAAAAAAATTTAAAAAAAAATTAAAAAAAAAATTAAAAAAAAAATTAAAAAAAAAAATTAAAAAAAAAAAATTAAAAAAAAAATAAAAAAAAAATTCAATAAAAAAAAATTCAATAAAAAAATTAAATAAAAAAATTAAAAAAAAAAAATTAAAAAAAAATTTAAAAAAAATTTAAAAAAAATTAAAAACTAAAAATATTTCGCCAAAAAGTTGTGTAGTGTATTATTGTTAACTTCAACAACACCCTTTGAAGATATACATACATACATATTTGATGATTTGTTCTTAAATTTTATTGTTTTTTTTTTCAACACCTGAATCAAGTAAGAAGCACTGACGGGCATAATACCCTGTTGTTGTAACAGCTAACAAACCCCGTTTAGGTGCAGGCAAAACCTGTCAGTCACCGATATCATCTTACGGACGGCCCAGCAAAAGGGCTGTTACGATGGGCATGCCCAAAGCGATTCATTTGTTGGGTATGCCGGGGTCATGTTTAGATAAGTAGAAATTGAGTCTGCTGCAATACCCAGAACCTAGCTGTACAAGCTAGCAAAACAGCCTGTCAATTTGCAGGCGTTTGCTAATAAGCTATGGAATGCTTAACAATTGAAATGTAAAGGGTGTTTTTTTTAATTTTGGTTTTCAATGAGGCAATATTTTTTTTGAAGTTCGGTTTTTGGTAGCTTTTACTTGATTTAGACTTCATTTGGTTGTCCATTTCTTAATGAACAGACGAATGACGCCTTGAAAGAGAATATCGGCGCATTGCTGCTGACATACGTTAACAGTATGTGCTGCCATATGGATGGTCATGGGTATGAATACCGGTCAGACTAGATCCAAAATAATGAACAAAAATTTTCTATTTGCATTGGCTTCTTCGCAGAAAATGTCAAGTCCTCGCAGTGTATCCTCCTGTGATAACGATCTATTAGCCGTTTGTTGGAAAGATATCTATTAGCACGCCTCAAATTGGATGAAGCAGCAAAATCGCCTTAACGGTTGCAAAGCGTCAATTGTAAATATATATCTTGAATAATGAGCTCAACATACACAAGTGTAGATGTTGGATTAGTTTTTAAACTCTTGCGATTGGTTCTTCTGCCATGTTGTGTTTAAACGCCTAAATGTAGGCAATATGTTAATAGTATTATTAATTAATAATGTCACGCATTTTTAAAATCGAGAAAACTTAGTGGCAACACCATTTTTTGCATGGTGGTAACCCCAAGCAGAACGATTTAATCATATCTGCGTAAGAATTCACATTTACATCGATGCGTATATATATGTATAATATGTCGCATATAATATATTAGCCATGCGTTGGGACTATGAATGCATTAACCCAGAAACGTTAATTGGATTGAACATTCGCACGTTTGTTGCACGTCTGTCTGGTTGAAAATTAGACGGGCGCAGACTAAAACAAAAGAAAAGCAAAAAAATAGAAATGCGCAAATTTCTTCTTCTCCTTTTCTCATTAGCAACCAACGAGTGTTAGTCGAGAAAGAGAGGAAAATGAAGGAAATTAAAGAAATGAATTCCATAACCGTTACGCTAGGAATGCAAATCCTGTTGAAGTTGTTGTAATATATCCAAATGGGTCATTAATTGTCTGATGAAGGAAATGAATCGCGGTTGTAAACCGAATAGAAAATTTATATAAACATACACGTATATATGTCTATGTTAAAAAAAGTTCCTCATTGATCAGATATTTCATTTTATATTTTTTTTTTTTTTGCAATAATTCAAAATAGCGCGTCGGATATATGTACATACATAAATTGATTTCTACGCGCTCATGCGTTTTCTCGAACGCTTTCGGATACCTGTTTGTCCTCTGTTGATTATGCAAGCAAATTAGCTATTTACATATCTACATAAATACATCGGCATGTGTGTCTGAAACAGCACAGCAAGATATTCCTATTTGTATGTATGTAACTGTCGTAAAATCCAAAGAGCTCGTCACTTGCTACTGACTTGGTAGTGACCGTACGCCCGCCCGTTGTTCGTTGTTGTTGCGATGGCAGCGCGTGCATTCGATTTGCTATTTGAACTCGCATGTTACACCTATTACTGGCATTTACATACATATAGATACGAGTAAGGGTATATGCTTACACATGAGCGCAGCCACTTTGCTGACCGCCGTCGAAATTGCTAATGAGCGTAAAGCAAAACAAAAGCAGCGCCAGCGATCTTTTATCCGTCTCTCCCCACCGGCCTCCTACGGCATGTGTAGGTATATATGTATGTATGTAGCTGCATGTGCGCAATTACAACACATTTTTATCGCATTTATTTGATGTGTGTTCATGCATCGTATTGGATCTATATGCTTAACTTTTTAATACTCAAATCCGTGCGTATATATGTATGTTCATATGTACATAAGTATATACATATACTACTTACATACATATACAAGAAAGTAACTGTGACATCACGTGCATGCAAGCGTGACACTCACACGGCAGTCGGGTTTTTCTCATATCATCGGCATTTTGCAGGTGTATGTAAGTTAAGGTGGGTCAGAAAACGTTGACCAAAACCCTCGAAATGGATGGAAATGAATTTTCGACCACTTTTTGCAGCGATTCGGGCCGTATGTCAGCAACAACCCTTCTAAGGCGTCAATCGTCTCGGACTTATTTGCGTAGATGAGCGACTTTACATAATCCCACAAAAATAGTTCAACGGTGTTAAATCGCACGATCTTGGAGGCCACACCACAAGCGCTCACCAAAAGTTTCCTACAAACAATTAGCTGTATGTCTTCTAATGTCACGAAACCAAGCAGTGACGTTTCGAGGATGCAACGGCGCCCCTAACAATGGCTTCTGGATTATCATCACTCCAATCGTTCCAATTCAACCTAAAGTAAGCTTCGTCGCTGAACTCTGAAATTTTCGGTTGAAAATCGGGATCGGCGACCACATCGTTTGGGGCAAACAGAGATCCTTCCGTGAAAGAAACTCCACATTACTAACCATAGCGTCTATAGTACGCACTGTTCGGATGCGTATTATCCGCTAGACTACTTCATGTTTCTACTAGTAGAGTTGAGAAATATTAAAAAAATTAAATTTTTTTGATATTGGACAACCGTAATATGCAAACAAATATATACATAAATATATTTCAGTTCCCACCACTACATAAATACCCCCTTTGCTGTACACTTCTCTGACGCCTGTAGCAGAAATTATCATAAGTAGCAATTGTTGCTGCTCGCTTGTCGTTGCTCTTTGATTTCGACGCTGACTTGACGAGCTATATGCGAAAAATGCCGCTATATCTACACCGTAGTTTTCGCTAATGGCTACAACAAACAATCGATAACGGATTGTAAAAAAAAAAAAAAAAAAAAAAAAAAACTGAAAATTCAAATCAAATAAAGAAAATAAATTCAAAAGCAATCAATCGATAAAGACAAGTTGTACATACAAATTAAATGTTATTGCATAATCGCAGTAGCAATGGCAATTTGTCGCTAACCAACCGCCTTCCACGTCCGCCTGCTGTCATACGCTCGGATAAGATTATTTAAGCGTTTTGAGGCATTTTCTCAAATTCCTTTCCGCCACCTAACTGCCAATGGTTGCTGTTCAGTTGCCTATTTCTCAGTGCTTTTTTTCCAGATTTTCTGTTAGGCATGGAAACGGCGTCATACTGATGTAATTTTAAATATATATTTATGCATATTTTGTTTTACTTTAATTTGTTTTTTGTTATGATTTTAATTTTCCTAACTAATTTTTCTCACTTTTTCTCCTTTTCATTTTTTCCTTTGCACAGCTAAATGTTCGCGTCACCACAATGGACGCCGAACTGGAGTTTGCCATACAACACACGACCACCGGCAAACAGCTCTTCGATCAGGTCGTCAAAACGATCGGTCTGCGTGAGGTCTGGTTCTTTGGTCTGCAGTACAATGACTCAAAGGGTGATTCCACATGGATTAAACTTTACAAAAAGGTATTGTATCGAATATTGAGATAATGAATTATTTAAGAGTGACTTTTTGTTTTTGTTTTAATTTTTGTTTTTTATATCTTATTCGAAAATTATCAGAAATTTCGTATTTGGTGTTGAAAGAAGATAGTGCACCAAAAAGCTCAAGGAAATAGAAAGTCCCGTTCACATTATAGCAGCCACAGTCTTATTGAAAAAACGACATCTTAATAATTAAAAAAAAAATTAAAATTTTCATACAAAAAAATGAATCGTCTGGAAAAATTTTTTCCCACATATACCATTTACGAGTATTTCGAACTGAAATTGGAGATAAAATATGCTTAAAGCAAACATCTCTTACAAAAGTTGCTTTTAATACTGGAAAGAACTCTTCCAATATAAGATCTAAGCAGTTTTTTCACTAATCTCGTATTCGTAGCCGAACTACGAAGGACCGATGCTGATGCTCAGATCACTGGAGGCATGAAAACATTAGGGTTACCTTTTTTATGGTTTCTAAAATAATTAAGCGAAATATAATTTGTGAAACACTACATCAATCGTAGCACCGCCTCGCGAATTTTTGCAAATTTCGATCCGTTTGAAGTAATATTCGACCATTTTTTGGTATCTCAGCCTGATGAATGGTTGTTAAACAACAGTAAAGTCAAGTGTTTTGTGGCTTGTGACACCATATTGTTCCAATCACACCTCCGGACGCAACAGCGTTAGTGTTATGGCCTCTCTTCAAGTATTTGAGAATTCTCGGAATACCAAATGCGTCAATTGCCATCCACTGATTGTTGTTGTTCAAATAGCTGGCTTCAGTTGTTGTGTGAGCTAGACTTTATATGGATGTAGGAGTAAGTCCAAGTCAAAAAAACGCCATAATGTGCCGTAAGAAAGTTCCAGCTCTTCAAAACGTCGAGAAATAGACACATTTTGATCTCCGGCTGCACTTTCACGTGCAGTAAGCCTTATTTGAGATGAAATGATCAAAACGATGGTGCACAGGTCTTGCAATATCTGCAGCCGATCTGTTAACTTTGACAAATGTCCAAATACAGCCCTTCAATATTGTATATGTAAAATTTTCTATTCGAGATCCGTCGAAATTTGAAGGCTTTAACCATGCCATGAAAAGATAAAAAATTCCCATACATAATACATAACAAGACGAAAAATAAAAAAATAAGTAACTGTGATATCCTTATCTGAACACTGGCGATTTGCTAATATCTATCGATTATTCATATCGAGAAATAACTAATCTTTCTTTTTATTGTATATGTATGTAGGTAACATTCAGCTTTCTTATTGATCCATCATAAATGACCGTCATTCTTCTATTCAGCAATACGCACATACATACATACATACGTACATACATATGGATGTATATTTATTATTATTATTATTTTTTTTTATAAAAATGGAAAACTTTTATTTAGAATAATTAATATTTTTATATGCACCCATATTTTGGCTATCGCACAGCCAGAATCGCCAGCCATAAAAACCATAAAATATTTGAAACGAGTTAAGAAATATGTGGATAAGAGGACGGCAGACGGCCACCACAGCCAGCACAACAATGAGGTTAGCGACGAAGATGACGATGCCGATGATATGGTGAGCCTGTCGTACATAAACGAAATCTTCACGTCATTAGATCAAGCCCGCAGAGGGCAAAACCGTAAAAATGTGTAGTTTTTGAAACCCGTGTTAGAACTGATTTGGGATTGTAGACAACGCGCTATATTCGAAAGTAAATGAATTGAATTGTGACCCCCAGTGATGTGTTCCTTGTAACTCTTTTGTTCAATTGATGATTTCAATTTATCTTGTATTTTCCAAATTAGCGTAGTGCTTAAGTGTAATTGAGTCTTCCTTTTTCGTTTTTTTTTTTTGCTCCATACATTTTTTTTTTCCTTTGAAACATCAACAAATTCGTTTTTTATCTTTGTCTCTCTCCCTCTCTCTATCTTAGTAATATATTAAACATTTATTTTGTCCACTTATTCTCATTCTCACTAATGCACCCATAAATGATAACGCCTCCTGTGTGTGAATATAGACTGGATCCATGCCATTCTCCACATGGGTAATGTTTAAAAATGTTATTGTACCACTTGAACTGATATTTCGTCTCTCGCTGCGCTGATTAATTTCTTTCTACAATAAATCGTTTATTTTCTCACGCTCCCATCGGCAGGTCTTGAATCAGGATGTGAAAAAGGAGAATCCCCTACAATTCAGATTCCGCGCCAAGTTCTATCCGGAAGATGTCGTTGAGGAGCTCATCCAAGACATAACACTCCGCCTATTCTATTTGCAAGTGAAGAATGCCATACTATCCGACGAAATTTATTGTCCTCCCGAAACGTCCGTACTGCTCGCTTCGTATGCCGTTCAAGCACGTCACGGCGACTACAATAAAGGCGTGCACATAGCCGGATTCTTGGCCAATGATCGCCTGCTGCCGCAACGTGTCATGGATCAACACAAAATGACCAAGGACGAATGGGAGGAATCGATAATGAATTGGTGGAAGGATCATCGCGGCATGTTACGCGAAGACGCAATGATGGAGTACTTGAAGATCGCACAGGATCTGGAGATGTACGGTGTGAATTACTTTGAAATCCGCAACAAGAAGGGCACCGAGCTGTGGTTGGGTGTGGACGCGCTCGGTCTTAATATCTACGAACAGGATGACAAGTTGACGCCGAAAATCGGTTTCCCTTGGTCGGAAATCCGCAACATTTCATTCTCGGACAAGAAATTCATAATCAAACCGATCGATAAGAAAGCGCCCGACTTTGTCTTCTTTGCGCCGCGCGTACGCATCAACAAGCGAATTTTAGCGCTATGCATGGGCAATCATGAGCTGTATATGAGGCGTCGCAAGCCCGATACAATTGATGTGCAGCAAATGAAGGCGCAAGCACGTGAGGAGAAGAACGCCAAGCAGCAGGAGCGGTAAACTTCTATAAAATATTCCCACGAAAAATGTTCATATATTAATTACGTCCTAATTTTTTTTTTTAGCGAGAAACTTCAATTGGCGCTCGCGGCTCGTGAACGTGCTGAGAAGAAGCAGCATGAGTACGAGGATCGTCTGAAGCAAATGCAAGAGGAAATGGAGCGCTCACAGAAGGATCTGATCGAGGCCCAAGAGATGATACGTCGTCTTGAAGATCAATTGCGTCAATTGCAAGCAGCCAAGGACGAGTTGGAGCTGCGTCAGAAAGAACTGCAGGCTATGTTACAACGCCTGGAGGAGGCCAAGAATATGGAAGCTGCAGAGAAGGCCAAACTGGAGGAGGAAATCATGACCAAACAAATGGAAGTACAACGCATTCAAGACGAGGTGAACGCCAAGGACGAAGAGACGAAACGTCTACAAGACGAAGTCGAGGAAGCCAGACGTAAACAGGTGTGTACATTTGTGCATTTTGGTATTTTATATATCTTTGCTAAATTAATTCCACTTCGTACAACCAGTCGGAAGCTGCTGCTGCACTTTTAGCGGCGTCAACGACACCTCAGCACCATCACGTTGCAGAGGATGAGAACGAGAACGAAGAGGAGCTCACGAATGGTGATGGTGGCGGTGATGTGTCACGCGATCTGGACACAGACGAACATATCAAGGATCCAATCGAGGACAGACGCACACTAGCTGAGCGCAACGAGCGCCTGCATGATCAATTGAAAGTGAGTTTACTATCCGCAAACAGACAGAAAAGTTTCATGACTAACTTGAAAATATTTGTTTTTTTCTTTATATAAAAGGCTCTAAAGCAAGACTTGGCACAAACCCGTGACGAGTCGAAAGAGACGCAAAACGATAAGATTCATCGGGAGAATGTGCGTCAAGGTCGCGACAAATACAAGACATTACGAGAAATCCGTAAGGGCAACACAAAGCGTCGTGTCGATCAATTTGAAAACATGTAAACTGGAATTTGTGGGCTGGGTGCGAAGTAGCCGGCTGAGGTGGACTGGCATGACTACGGCGTCAGTCTTGTATAGAACAACAGCATCAATGGCAGCGGCTATATAAACATTATACAATAACAACAACAACAACAAAAACAGCAATAATAACAACAACAGCAGCAGCAATTTACAGTAACCATTCAACCAACTAACTGAAAACACACCTCCGCCCGATCGTCCTCGACATGAGCAGATCGTTATTTAAATTTAAAAAAAAAATACTATTTACAAAGTAAGAAATGAAATTTGATACACTTTTTGATAAGATAAAGTCTTCGATGTCGCAAAGTAGGTAAACCATAAAAAACTAAAACAAAAAATCATAAACGCTTACAAAACAAATTCGTAGAAACAATCAAATGCATTTTCTTTCCTTTTTGGATAAAAATTGAATTAAATCAAAAATAATAAGATTGCTGTTCCCCCTATATGTTGATGATTCGAATGTAGAATCGCAAATATTTAGTTTGGTTTTGTCTACTTTATTTTATTTACAAAGTATTCCTATTCCTTTGGCATTTATTTCAATAAATTCCTTTAATTAAAAGTTATTAAAATTAAAATAAAAGTGTGCGAAAAAAGCTAGAATAGAATTTGCATTAAAATTATTTTCCCGAGCTATACTAAAATGTCAATTGTTTTTTCCAACTTTTCTTCAAACACATAATCGCAAATGTGAAAATCGTCAATCAATACATTTTTTTCTTGAATCGTTCCCAAGGCGAATTCATAATTCGTACCGTATTAATTATTTAATTTTTGAGTACCAACTTTATATATACAGTTATATAAAAATTGTAGTCTTTTTTTTTTGATTTTTTTGAGAAAGAAAAACTTTTAAACGATATAAATACTTTAAGGTATAGTTGTTCTATATATATAATTATTACACATTATTATTATAAAATAACAGTACCATTAATTTGAAAGGATAAATGGAAATCTAATCATTCAAACAAGAGAAAAACAGAGCAACGCAAAGGGAATCCATTTACATGAAAAATTGTTATTATTACTTGGCAGAATAATTATATTATTAATAATATAATAAAATAAAAATAAACCATTGTATTATTAGAAGAAGAAGAAGAAAAAGAAGATGATGATGATGATGCGAGAGTGACCACTAGGGATCAGCGTGAGTTTCTAACCGCACCATATTAAATAAGATTAACGTCAACTGCTTTCGTTAAGCTTCAGCTTACTCATGGAAGCAAGACCAACTTGTTTTTAATTGCATTTGTTCGAGAAAAATTACATTAGCACTACCTGTGGATTTCATTTATATCGTTCGATACTGCAAATATTTATTATTACAACATTATACAAAAAATAATAATAATAATAATAAAGTGGATTACTCTTGAAGAGGTGAAAAAAGTCGATGCCACTGCATTGCTATTGTTGTGGTAATAGTATTAAAGTGAACTCTGCAACTTGTTAAAAACTGTCTTATCGTTAACCCTCCCTTCGCTGATAATTGTATAATTTCACGTTTTGTAGTTAACAAAAAAAACTGACTCTTAATTCCATTAATTTTTAGCTAAAGTTTTTTTTTTTTGGAAGTTAAGGTATCAAAACAATAGAAAAATTTAGTACACTAAAGGCTTATCCTTTGCTAGAGCGATATGCCTATTCACTGAAAATAGTTTGCTAAACCATAATTTAAATAATACTAAAATAAAGTTTTTCTTTTTTGTATACAAATATACATAGATATAAAGATGAATGATAATGGATATGCTTGTAAGTAAAATTATAAACGGTTTTTAATGAAACAATAAAGTTTAAACTATAAAACGACGTTTTAGTAATAAACTTGAATATTGAATTTTCTATGCGGATTTTCCTAAATGGGGCTGCATTTTCTTGGCCGACGTACCTTACAGTGAAAATCTCAAACATTAAAATAATGATAGACCCAGTTTGGCATGTGAAGTTTCCATCCGCGAGAATGAAAAATTAAATAAATTTTTCATTGAATTTATTTTTTCCTCTTTAGAAATTAAACATGATTTGCAGTTATGTACGTACATGTATATGTATAAAAATTAATTTAAATGTATATAAGTCAGATGAACACATTAATTTTTATGCATTATACGTTAATGATTTTTCATGGCGTATTTTTCCTTGAAATGTACCACCCACGATCCCACCACACTAGAAAGCGCGCCCAAAATATAATAATCATGATTGCATTAAATTAATTAATTAAATGCATGAAGACCATTTTAGTGAAAAATATTATATTTTTTTTGTTTGTTTTAATGTTACTTCATCACCGCTTAGCCGTGTGAAGATTTATTTGGCCAGCTATATAACTATATCGCCAACACCAGAAAAATATAATAGATCTTTAAATTTTCTTTTTTAGGTAGGCGTTTTTTTTTTAGTTGTTAGCAGCTTAATGCCATTGACCAAAATAAAGGTGCGTTCATACTGAAAACCGGTTGTAAAATCTAAAATTTCCCCGCTATTGACAAAGCTCGCAGATCTTGGTAGAAAAAAGAACGGCTGACTGAATTTTAACGGTTTTGTAGACTGTACAGACTGAACCAATATTTTAACATTCATAGACGCCTAACAAATGATCATATACACCTATTAAGCTACACTCTTTGAGGCTATGTATTGGCATAAAACTTGTTCGGCCTCTACTTGCCTTTAGAATTCGACTGCTGTGGATTTACGGTGCTCCTTTTAGCGTAACAATCAATAAGACTACAGCACCATATACAAGGACCCACCTGGACGGCGTACCGACGGCCAGCTTTAAACGTCATTCATCGAAAGTCCAGCAATACCTTCTGAAACTCCTCTAGTGTACGGTGTTCGCCGAGTAATACCGGCACATTTAAAATGTAAATATTGCAGTCGACTTCCTACTTGCTCAAACTTGACCCCAACATACTCGACGTACATGTGTTCTGAATGCAATGAGGCACTGACCGGCATAAACCCCCTATTAGCCTGCCCTTAAAAGCCTACTTCGCTTTCCCTCTGGTCTAAACCCGTCGATACGTCTCATTTCCTGGACCTCCTGTTGGATGATCTCCATAACTTAAAACAACAACATAAGTAATTTTGTGCTTCCAGTGCGATGGAGCGAGGCCATACTCTGTTAATAAATACAAAAGCGCTTGTGCCTACAATCGGATACTGCCTCGATCTCCAAGTGAAACCTACATATATTTCGAGGAAAACTTTACGTTGCGCAAAAAATACCGAAATAAGAAAAATTAATACATTTCTGCTAGAGTAAGTAAAATGCATTCAGTAATTAAAAAATTTAATTTTATTAGATCATTTCTTACTAAATTATTTATAGACTACTTGTGTAAGTTTTTATTTTTACAATACATATCTATGTGTGTGTATGTATGTGCATGTGTATGCTTTGTAGAAAGTGCAAGTTATATACAACGCGCATAGGCCTGTATGTATGTATGTATGTATGTATGAATCGCATTTTCATTTTAGCATTTTATTATAGAAAGATTTAAATGAGCACATTGAAGAATAGTGTGTCAATACGAACAATTTCCTAAAAGACTGCATAAGCCGTAAAACAAACATGATTACTTGTGTTTTACAGTACATCTCTGTGTTCCTATAACCATTCCCTAATGCAATTTCGAAATGTCTATACACACATGTCTACATTAAGGGTGTCCACATTTTTTTATATTTAATTCCGATTAATTCCTCTAATAATAGCAATTTGTGTCAATGGGACTCCGATTCAATTTTTACATTTACGAAATTTTTCAAAAATTTATCTAAGTAATGAAAATCATAATTTCAAGCTGTTCCGTTAGAGAGAATATTGAAGAAATTATTTAAACTTTCTCATTCAATCTTCGAAAAATGCAGATATTCTAATTAAAGTTGATTTCTGGACGACTCAAATGTAAATAATATATACAATATTAGATATTCGTTAGGGCACTTTGTCACATTGAATTTAAACAGGTAAATAAGAGACATGAGAGTCAAAATATTCGATTAACAGCCACAAGTTATTTTCCAAATTTCATGATCTTTGATTATTACTCTTCCGCTTTTATCTCGCCAGTGGGTCTGGGTCGACCCACGCTGGGATTCAGTAAAACCTTGATAAGATACTCCACCGATGGCCGCTCAGCTGTTTGGAAAACACGCAGGCCACGGTCTTCGATAGCCAAACGCGTACTCGGTCCTATAGCCACCAGCTTCCAATTGTCCATGTTCACATTATGCGCTTTGCAATATTCATGCACACAATTTACACCCGAAGGTGAGAAGAAAGCGAAATACTCTATATTATCTGCCTGCAGTGCGCGTTCCATATTCTCTGCCAGCGCTGGATGACACACTGTTTCGTACACCTCGCAAGCGTCCACTTGAAAACCGTTCTCCACCAATTTTGAAAGCAGCAAATCGGTGCGGAGATTTCCACAAGGCAACAGCAATGGCAAATCGCGCGAGCCATCGAAGGTGTCCACTATGAAATCACCAAGATTCCGTGCATTTCCTGTTTGTTTACCATGCGTGAAGAGTTGTTGCAGTGACGATAGCGCCAAGTTATGTGTGACCTCGCCAACTGCATAATTATGCAATAGCTTCCAACCGCTATGCAATTCGGAAAATTGCAACGCTTCACAAACAGCCTCCACACAGCGGGGGCTTGTGAAAATTATGCCGGCGAAAAGGTCTGGCGTTTGAAGCTTAACACGTAGTTGCGCCAGATTTTTAAAGCCGAAACTAAGTGTGGGCACAAATATCGGATTAAAACCGTTAGCATGCAGCTCCTCCGCGTACCGGTCACTGCTCTCCGATTCCGATTTAAAGATAATCACCGTGCGTCGTCCACTCATTACTTTGGTTCAATGTCAACTACGAAACTTGACTGACTGACTACTAAATGGTTCTTGTGGCAGCGAATGGTTTTTAGCATCAAACGCAACAACTAATCAGCAGGTGGCTAAGAGCGTTTGAACAATACTCTCAGCTGGTAAGTGGGTGTTAGTGGGCGAAGTTCTCCTGTATTTCTAATTGAGTGATAAAAACATTTTGATTACAAGTGATAAAGCGATGCGCACGGTTGCATGGTATAGAGGGAAATATTTTGTTTTCAAATACTACAATGTACACTGAGAGAAATAAAAAGACCCATTTCAACAAATTACAGATAAAAAATATAAAAACACATGATGGCTTTTCAAATCTATTGTTGCGAAAATGCGAGGCGAATGTCAGATGAAAGAGAGAAGCCGATAACTAGTACGTTCTAGAAACGATAAAACAAGAACCTTCCATAGCGAACAATTCGATGCTTCTACGCTTTCGTCTGCGAGCAGCCGACTGCTATATAAAGGCCACACTCAGCTGCAAGTCAAGCTAGTGACAAAGTGACCTCGTTGGCGTTAACATCAGTTAAGTCGTAAAGTGAACGCGTTGGGAATTACATTTAAGTAGAGTAAATGGTGAAAGTTTATGCAAGTGATTGTAGCAAGTAAAGTGCCTTGTAAGTGAATTGTGTATTACGGAGTAAATAAAGGACATTAGATCAAATCTTTATTACGAAAGAAACTGCAAATTAAGTTGGCGAGTTTTATTTAACAATCCAGAGATCGTACCCGAAGGATTTGGGAAATCATCGAGGTTGATTTAGTAAAATCGTAACACTATTTTATAAGTACACAAACAAAATACGAAGGATTTTTGTTTTTGTACTCTTGCTACTACCGGTGTGAATTTGCCTTGGCATTCATTTTTTCATTGGTCTTGCTGCCAACTATTTCAAACTGTATTTTCATTAGTGTCTAAAATGATACTCGTTTATCTCATTTTGAAAAATAGCTTCCCGTTTACTTAGTTTAAAAACATCGCGAAACAATTCATATGAAAAATTGCCTTATGCAAGTCTTTATTCCATAGCAGTTTTTGTTAACATCACAACTTGTAGAAACAATTTATTCAAGCGTTTGCATGGCAGTGCTGAGTTTTAATATGTATTTATAAATAAAAAAAAATTTAAATAAATTAATATTCCAAAACCATTAATGTAAGCACTAATGTTGTCAAGCAATGTAAATTAACAAATTAACATTTAAGTCCATTAATTTTTTGTTAAAATTAGGTAAAAAATAATTGTTGCTATTATTAAATAATTTTGTTGTAAATTTCAATAAGAACTACTACTTTGTTACATAAACAATAAGTTAAATTCCTCTTTTCCTACTGTGTAAACTTATATATACAAATTAAATAAAATTTCTTCAATTATCATAAATTAAATTGATATTCATATGACATGATAAAAATAGTAATATCTAGATGAATTATGTGTATGATTTGTGTTGAATTTTCTATGACTACGAAATCAGTTGGCTCTCCTTCCACTTCCTTAGTAAGTCACCACTTTTGTATCTGTAGGTTGGCAGCGGCAGCTCATCATTTATTTTACGCAAATTGAAAATATCTTGGCCACTGAGATTTTTTTTTTGAGCAGGCGCAGCCCATAGCTCCGACGGCGTTTGGCTAACGCCCAATGATGAAGCCATACCGCAATTCACTGTCAGGGGCGTCACTAAATGAGGGTTAGTTAAAAGCGATGGACGCGGCGAAAAGGCCGTACGACTCCCAGCGTCAATTGGCTGAAAGGCGCGTGTAGCATCTAAGCCAGTAGTATGATGTGCGATCTCGTTGTTCTCGGCGGTAAATGAGTTCTCACGTGACACATTCAAACGGTCGTTTTGCGACTCAAACCCCGAAGACTGTGATGAGGCACGAGACAAATTTTCTCCAATAGTTGTCATGGGTTGCCGTGGTTCTGGAAACAACGTGTTAACTTGGTTGAATTCAGCTGATAAAAAATTGGTGTTGGGTGCAGTAGTTTGGGCAAGCATTGTAGTGCTGAAACGCGAAGGGGTGAGTAAATTTGTTGAGGCTGGCCGCCGTTGATATGCAGTATTGTTTGATAGTGAGAATGGTGAGTGCAAGGCAGCCGAGTTGGCTGTGAAATTTCGATGGCTCATATTGCTACCAAAGCGATGTTGGCCATAAAACGTGTTGTTTTGCTTCTGCATTACTCTTTCGTTGGATGTGCCACTAAATGTTGAATTTAAAAGAGATGTATTGGGGTTAACGTTTCCTGTATTATTTCCACTTAAACCAAACATTGGTGATCGAACACGCTCATGGTTATTTAATTCCGTATTCAAGATGAAATAGGGATCGCGCGAAGTCAAGGTGGCTGATGAGAGGGCAGTGTTAAAGTCGCCAATGGATGAAGCAGCGTATTGTGAGCGAATGGATTGAGAATGCGGCTGCAGGTCACAATAGGCGGATTTGAAGCTAGAGTTCGGTGAAAACTGTTTGTTTGTCATGTTGTTTAAAGAAAACGATGAAGACGTAATTGGTGATTTGTAAAGTCGTGATTTTTGGGTTGGCGAGGGTCGTCCACGCATTGAAGCAGATCGTACAGTACTTGCGTTGCTACAATTGAACTGAGTACTTAACATGCTAATTGTGTCATCGTCGCTCAGATAATCGTCTGAATAGATTTTGTGGAAACTTTTCGTACTAGTATCGTGAAGTTTAGGAGAGAGATCCACTTCATTTGTCAAGGTGAGTACAAGAGTAAACATTGACGCGCTGAGCTGAATAAAGAAAAACAAAAAATTAGGAAGAAAAAAATAAAAGAATTTATAATAATATTTACCATTAAAATATTTGTTGAAAAATATAGTTTTTCTTCTATTAAACCTCCGGCAAAAACACTCCACAGAGCCAACAAAAAAGTGAAACGTGTCAATTTGAAACCATCCATGATTTTGTAACCAAAGCACATAGCCAACATTGCAAATGGATATGTAAGCACATATAGCGAGTTAAAATTAATCCGTGCCATTTGCGGCATTTTCAATCCAAGCGAATACAAAAGCATCATGAAAATTGTACGCCCAAATAATTTACATTTCTCCAACACAGGATGCGTGCAAATATGACTAATGTAGGTATTTAACATACGAAGGAGCGCTAAAACATGTGATAATCCAAGGAACAGCTGTTTACCGACACGATCGCCTAAAACGGCCTCCAAATGCTCACGTGATAATGTCGGCAACATGTAGCATAAACAAAATAGATTTACTATGGTCAGTAGTGTTATGTGCAACGATAGACGACGTTTCCAATGCTGACGTTGCACATGACGCACTTGTCTGAAATGTGGCTGTTTTAAAGATTCAGCGCCTTTTATTATAAAGTCAAGAAATTTGGAACCCAATACCATTTTTTTCTTTTCGTGAAGAACTTTTCCTAAATGCTGTTCACATGACCTGCACAGGCGATATTGTTCTTCCAATTTGACTCTAATTAAAAAAGTATATATATATTATTTAATATATAAATTGAACCGAATTCATATACTTACTTAAATGCTTTGAGTTCCTCATCAAAGTGCGATTCGTATTTGGGCTCGAACTGTGCCAACTTTTCCACCTTTAGACGCTGCGCTTCATTGCACTCGTTACAGAAACCATTCCTTGGCTCGCTTAGCGCTAATCCCGATGCATCACCTGAAATGTCTCGCCTTATTGAGCACGCTGAGATGTTGCTAGAATCCAGCGGTTGAATTTCACTAATTTCTCGGTTGTAGTCACCATCTTTGTTGAAGCCATTGTATTGTTCGCAATGTGGACATGTCCAGCTGTTTGACTCTAGGTAAGGTACGCGCGCATTTTGATTACAAAACCAGCAGTTCACAGTAGCGTCAAATTTTGAGCTAAAAATACAATTTTACTAAATAAATTAATTTAGGCGCGAAACGAGAAATACACATTCCATCATATGTATGATGTCAGTTCAAATTTGCAAAATTACTTCATCTATTGTGGCAAAAACAAAAAATTAACCGGTTAAATGAGGTTAGGTTGTTGTAGTGTGTACCCAATTCTTAGCAACATTACCGAATTTTCACATAGAGTTTGTGCAGCAGTAAGAGACCTACAAACGCAAAGGCAAGAATAGGTACCGCGCTCACCGCCAGCGATAGCAGCAGTTGATTGTACATTATGCCAATTTATAAATTATTAATTCTAATTAGCACCAAGTCTACAACTAACAAAAACTGCAAGGCAATTATTAATGCGCTTTGCGACCGTTTTGCACGGTTTCAGTTGTCACTTTTTTATTTTTACTTTTTTCAACAGGTATGTATTCCAAAATGACTGTGGTGAATATTTCTTAAATACTCATACTACGTTTCTATTTTCTATTTTCTATAGGATGATATATATGCAAAATAACAATAAACATTTAACACTATTTAAACCATCTCGTACTATTGAAAAAGAAGAAAGAATACCACGACTTTTTTAATTCGGCTATAAGAAGAGAAAATGGTGTTTTAATATAATTAGGTGGAAAGGAGCATAATACTCTCTTCTTATTACCGGGATATTGTACACAATATATAATTGGCGCGTTCTAACCGCTGAAGCGATTTGTGGCAGAGCTCTTCCTTGCATGTTGATGTTTTTCCAACAAATGGAGGGACTTATATATATTTACACTAAGCCACCTCCGAACGGCTGATGGTTTTTTTTTATGAGGGGCATTATTTCATGTCTGAAATGAAAACACGTAGTTTGTTTTAGTATAAGCTTTGTTTGTGTTTTTGACCATGAAAAATGTTTACTGTCTGGTGGCATTACATCTTTGAGCAAAAATGGGAAAAAAAACTGTTGTCAAAGTTCTGACGTTTCTTATGTTTTGAGTTGGCTTTGCACGTGTTTTGGGCATTGGAATTCACAATATTGAATTATATTTTCGTAGATAATTTAATTTAATTTAAAACGACATAATGCAACACGACGATGTAAGTATAAATGTTTGCCTGAAAGCATATATAAATTGTAATTGAGCTTCTTGTTCTGTCATTTCAGGTGGTATGGAGCATTATAAACAAATCATTTTGCTCGCATAAAGTCAAGTAAGTGAAATATATAAATAAACATAATTGGTTCGGCACTAAATGATTATTTTACCCTCAAATAAAATAGAACCGACACACGCACATTCTGCAGGCATGAGTACAATTTAACTGGTCTGTGTACTCGCCGCACTTGTCCGCTGGCCAACTCGCAGTATGCCACAGTACGAGAAGAAAAGGGTATAATATACCTTTACATGAAGACCGCCGAACGATCGCATATGCCAAACAAATTATGGGAGCGCGTAAAACTATCGCGCAATTTTGAAAAGGCGTTGGAGCAAATAAACGAAAACTTAGTGTTTTGGCCAAAATATATGATTTCGAAAAACAAACAGCGTTTTCTAAAAATTACACAGTATCTGATACGTATGCGTAAACTGAAACTACGACGACAAAAGTTGATAGTACCGCTATCGCGTAAGATCGAGCGAAGAGAAGCGCGACGAGAACAGAAGGCATTGATTGCTGCTAAAATTGATAATCATATTGAAAAAGAGTTGATGGAGCGTTTGAAAAGCGGCACTTATCAAGATATCTATAATTTCCCACAAACAGCATTCAATAAAGCATTGGAAGCGGAAGAGGTGGAAGATGAAGAGGTAAGCGAAGATGAGGAGCAAGAAGTTGAAAAAGAAATGGAAGTGGACGAAGATGTACGACGTGAGTTATTGGATGAAGAGTTTGTTGAAGCGAATTCAGAGGACGAAGAAGAAGATAGTAATGATGAAGCAGATAGTGATTCCGGCGATCGGGAAGAAATTGAGGTCGACAGCGATTTCGCAGCTTCCGATAGTGATGATGATGACGCTGACGACATTGAGGTGAGTAGTGAATTAGATAATTATATTACTTTCTTGGCGGTTAAATGAGTTTATTATAAGTAAAACGCATTATTAAAAATGTGGCTTGATAACTGATTCTATTTTGCGGTTTCACTCATTCATAACAACTTATTTTAACGGCAATTCTCAAAACGACAGTCATTATATATGATAATTACACTTTAGATGTAAAAATGCTTTCGATGCTGTAATGACGTATTAATTCGCCAATATGTGTTGTTTTAATCTGAAGTAAATATTTCAATCTTTTCGTATCTTGATATGCCATAAAACCTTTCGTAATACTGTTGTCGTTACACTTTTATTCACCCAGCTATAAGACTTGCTTCAGTGCAATAAGCGCTTTCATTCCGATTAGCTCGTCGCTCGGTAATAAAAAAGCGTTTTGTGTTTAGTCACTGTATTCAACATACAACAAATATCGCGTGAGAGCTCCTCTGTGAGTGAATTTTATATCTATTGAAAGGTTTAGCTATCAAAATTATATTGTAGAGCACCTTAATTAAGTCTAGTTGACAACTGTGACTTTCGTATGTGTGTATGTGACGCATGTCCAGCTCTCAGAATTTCAAGCATCAAACGCATTGATCGGTGACGGTTATTTTTGTTATTGCATGATCAGTGGATAATAAATAGAAGTCGGCGAAAATAAACACTTTGTTGCTTATTAATTAAACATTTTTTTGGTTTAAAGTGACTTATGCCGTAAATATTAACTTAAGGCAAAAAAGCAATTGTAATTATTTAGCGTGTAACCTTGATTGGTGTTCAAAGTTGAAAGTTCTATAGTTTCCTGCTATTTTTTTTTTAAGTAATAAACGACTCATACCATTTATGAATATTATTAACATTAATGGCAGTTATTTTGTTCGGTTGTTTTATTGCCTTAATAAAGTTAAAAGGATTATAAAGCAATTCTAATATTTTTTTTTGCAACGCAGGATACACCCGCGCCCGGTGCTTTCGTACGTGCTCCAGCGAAATCAAGTAAAAAGACAACCGCGGACGCGCCTAGCAGCAGTAAAACAGCGAAACGTCGTCTCAAGAAACCCAAGGTGGAAATCGAATATGAAATGGAAACTGAAACTGCTGCAGAGAGGCAAAGGCTACATAACTGAGGTATACGTCTACCGAGTCCAATTGTCGGTAGCTCCCTTAATTACTTACTGCGTTAGCGAAGTTGTGGCATTAATTGTAGTAATGCATTTTTTAAATCATTCTAGTGGTATCAATTTGTATGTGTATATGTGTAAAATAAAAAATGCAATTAAAATATGCAATTTAATTGTTCACGTAGTCTCATATTGACAATCTGTGTCAGTGCGTTGTACCGGTCAAAAACCGGTTCCGATTTGAGTTGCCTTAATTGCCAATAATTAATTTTTTTTAATATTACTCAGAACGATACTCATTCTTAATCGTAGAGCAATGTTAGCCGTGAGGGAAAAAAACAACTGAACATAACAAAAACAAATATGGGTGCTGGCCTCGACATTGTGATCTCCTCATTATATAAATGTTTGCATTTCGCTATGTTTAGTAGAGGATTATAGGTGCAATTTAGTTCAGAAAAGTTCAACTCACAAGTCTACTCTTGAAATATAAAAGGCATATCTAACGAAATTGAGATAATATCTCATATCCAAGCTGGAAACTGGCTTTTTGTTAAGTAATTGCAAAAAATGCTCAATATCAATGGCACCTACTTAATTCTTTGCCAAATTACTTGTTTATTGAGCTTTCGTTTATTTCACACGTTCTATTCATTCATAAATAACGGTCATATGCGAATTGATGAGTTTTGTTTTATTTATGCAGTTGCGCATATCTGTTTTAGTAGTCCATTAGCAAGATGTAAGTGAGAATATGAATATTCTTTTACTTTTATTATGTTGGTAAATATCGAGAAAATTTCATTGAAGCCAAACAAAACGATATCCGCATAATAGCGATCTGAGCATTTAACAAATTTTTGTAATTGTAAACAAAAACATCTCATATACATCTGTTTGTATGTATGTATATTATTTGTGCGTGCATATTCGGAAAGTAAGCACATAAAAAATTGCAGCGGCATCCCTTATTCAATTAAAAATTCCGATGTGGCGGTAATTATACAAAGGCCAAGTTTATGTCAACATATCCCAAACAAGTGTTTTTACTTACATATACATATGTGTATATATGTATATACAGCTATATGCATAATTCGCTTAGTAAATAATCATAGGTATGCATTTATACAGCGAATTTTAAACTTGTTCTCCAAAACACTTGTTACAATTGATATTTCACGCAACTGGGCACAGAAGTTCGATTTAATACTATATAAACAAATGATAACTCCGTATAAGTTTTCTGTCATTTATTGTTTAAAGTAAACTCATCCCAACGCGTCCATTTACATAAGTTAACTGGTACATTATCAGTTTACAATATCCTTACGGAGACTTGAAGAAATACTTACAACTACTTCCTTATCACTATTTGTTTAATCGAAGAGTTTATTGGACACAAATTAAATTTTCAAAATGCATCGAAAAGTTCAGTACGTTCAATTTCTGAAACAGCTTATCAGTGTGTTTCTGACCTTAGCGTTGCTGCAGAATATTGTGAAAAATTTGTATTAATTTATGGATAAATGATTACATAAATATTATTCATTCAATGCTGTAGCAAATATGTAGTACAAAATAGTGATTTTATGCATACGAGTATGTAATACGACTGTTTATGTGTAGAGTTTTTTTTTGAGTAATGCACTTCGTTTGTTTCAATGATATTGCATTTAGTCTCATGTGCACACTTATTTCTGAGAAGCTGTCGAAATTAGTTAATGCCGTTTATAAAAGAGTTCACAGTAAACTAAATGAAAATTCATTAAATATTAAATTAATTTACATATAATTGTAATAGGTTTTATTATAAAACTGATTTCGCCCTTTTTGCATACTACTTATCAGCTCTCACCCATTTCGCCAACCATATCAATTTGAATTTCCCGCTGCCTGTCGTAGTAGCACGTAAATTTTCTCTTTGATCCACTCCTTGTTGTAAGGTGCATAAGTATTTGTGGATTTTTGATATACGAGGCAACTTATATCCGCCAGTTGATCAACAAAATCGAAGAGTTGACTTATGTCGTATGTTATTGTCGGTGTATTTGGATTGCGCCTTTTCAGGTGTTCTTCATAGATTTTGCAAACACCTTCCATGCATTCGTTAACGCTTTCGTAGTCACTGTAAGTGCGCGTCTCGGGACGTGAAGCCGGCTGCACTAAAAGGATTGTATGAGACATGTTGGTTTAGTGGCAGTTTGGTTTGAGTTAACTGTTGGTCAGGAAGAAAAGTCTAGAAACGATGCCTTTTATCCAAAATATCCGTAGCAGACAGTTTTCACCGGTGCTATGACCCTGGCACGCTTTGTTTTTGCTTGTAAATGAATAACGGCTGCACGTTGTTATTCTAAAGTATAAAGCGACAAGTGTTAGGAGTTTAGCTGTGTTAAGTTTTGATTTATTTACTCACGTTGTTTTAATATTTACAAACAATATTTATCTAATGATTTTACACCGTTCAGTGATATTCGCAAGTTAAAATTATTTTTCTGATGCTGTCAAATTTTAATCGGCTTCCGTGTGCTTTTTGATATCTCTTTCTCGCACTCGTTTGGAAGGGAACAAATTCTAAAAGGCACTAGTCGCTCTCTCTTGCTTATGCCGTTTCTCAGAAGCCGCAAGTTTTCAGCGAGTAAATCGAAGTACCGAGTTCAGCGCTAGTATTGTGAAACACAAAAGTACTAAGCCACTGCTGAAGTATTCGGTACTCAGTAAAAGCTGAGTGGTGGCAGTTACCGCGAAATGAAATATAAATTTTGAATTAATATATTTGTTAATTGATAATTTATAAATAACAGAGTTTATATTAGAAAACACTTCCTTTCCTTTATCAAATTAAAATAAATAAGATATGTTGCAGAATATAAATAATTGCAACGTGAATATGAAACGAATGGTATTTCTACAATAAGTGTATAACAGTCAGAATATATTTATAATAGAAGAAATATTAGTGCATCAGCGCTGAAAAAAAAGGGTAAAATGCTGTTTTTATTTGAAGCAAGTGTGTGATAAGTGAAGTTTATACTTTTCATATTCAGGTTATCTTATTTGCGAGAGCTGTATGGGTTCCAAAGGAGCCATAATAAATGATTATGAAAACTTACTAACTGCATACATTCAAAGTTGAAAATATGAAAAATCTATTAATTTAATTCTGTATTATTTCCATATAAGTTTCAAAATAAACTAATTGATAGTTGTAAATGCGAAAATAAAAAATCTCAAATATTTTGTTTCTAATGTATTAACGTCTTTATTAACCTAAAACATATTTTTTGTTGTATACTCTATATATCTTTAATTCACCGATATTTTGAGTTTTAAGTTCACAATAATTTAAAGTTTTTTACATTTAATATATAACGCATAGGCATTTTTGAAGGCTGCATATTTTTTTCAGTATTGTGGTTTTGTTTAATAATTGGCGCTAGAATTTCACCACAAAACACATCATCTATTCATCTCCCTCGCTCGTCCTCAGCTAAGCACGCTAGATGTAACGATAAATATACAGATGATAAGACATCGGAAAGATCACTTCTTGCAGTACGCATACGTACGAGTGAGGTGAATAATACGCCCTCATTTGACAGCTCTTTTCAATCAGCTGTTTTTTGTTTGACAAACTTACCGTTGCTATATATTTGTAACTAACAGTGTATATTGCTTCCTTGTGTTAACCTATACATGATAAAAAAAAATAAAAAAATAAAAATAATAGTGGGGAATGGCAGCGAGAAATGCCAAAGCGACGATTATTGTGCGATGGTGTTGAGAAAATATATCCACTTAGAACAAGCGCGAATTCTTGTCGGTTTTGTCTTTCTAAGTAATTATTTATATTTTGTGATAAACGAAAATAAACGTCAAGAAATTAAGTGTGAAGCTCAATCTGTGAAATTTCTATTGCGAAACATAGTTGAGTAGGTAGAAAGATGTTTGATCAGCTAAATTAAAGTCAGCAGATATTTGCGTATACCATTTTGGATTGCTTTTTACGCTGAGCTTTGTATATTGGCGGAATTAAAAAAAAATCAGTGTGAAATTAAATAAAAGTTTAAAGAAAATCTAATAAGAAGATAGTGTGTTATTATTGGGCTTGCGTACGAGCGCCCACCTACAAAGTATCTACTTTGCGTGTGTGTGTGTGTGTGTGGTAGCGTTGCTGCGTCTGCGTTTGCAAGTGTTGCAACAGGAGATTATGTCTGTACTTGCAGATCACAAATCGGTAACGCGCTCAAAATCATTTGTTTACAAGACCCTTTCAGTTATAGAAACTCTTGGCGTAAATTGTGTGCACGTACAAGCCAAGCATTTCATTCATTGATAATATATATAAATGTATGTATGTGTATATGTATATTGTAGTAATTTTGTTTATATTTTGATGACGTTGTGCTTACCGTAGCGCCGGCCGTTTATATAAATACATATGTACATATGTAAGCGTGTGTGTTTTTGTGTTTTCTACGTGCGCGCTATTATCAGCTGCTATTTTAACGTGAATTCGTTTTACAAAATTTGCTTATTCGATGTTTTCAACAACAAATACCAAAATTAAGGTAGTAATACTTTAGTCAAATGCCACAGCCTTCAAAAATATGGAAAGCTTCCTTCATTAGTTTAATTGTTTTTTTTTTCGTTTTTGTATGCTTCCAGCTGCCCAGTGACTCTGCTGTGCCCAGTTTGCGTTGCCTTTTAAATGGTTCTTTTCGTGATTTGAATTTCGTCAACACAGATCATCGTATAACACCCGTGCACGACGTTGTCTTCCTCGATGAGGTTGATCCTACAATAAAACCGTTGAATTATCGTCCAATAATAACGTCTTCGTTGACGGTCACCTCTGAGCGGATACATAAATTCAATGGCACAAATGGCCTGGATACGACCAGTAATGGGTAAGTATTTACTCTTCAGCACTTTTATTTTTTAATTACTCATAAAATAAAGTTGTGATCACGAAAAAATTACCATAGTTATGAATAACATAGAATAAATTATTTTTAATTTCTTCTTCTTCGTTTCTATCGACCTGATTTTGTATGCAAATTCGTCAGTATGTACATATGTATGTATCAGTGTAAATGGCTTTTATGGGAAATTTCTCATCTATACTCGCAAGATAATTTTGTCTCAGTTTATGGAACTATTCAATTAAAACATGTACATATACATATGAGCACATACATAACGTAATGCGATTGTTCATCTCGAATAATTTTCCACAAACGTTCTAAATCGCCTCCCACAGATTCGTTTTTTTTTAATTTCTTTTTTCTTGTCGATGTAAATCACCAATCACAATAGTAATTTTTTTTTTTTTTAATTTTAAAATTTTTCAATAAGCAAGCGCGTAGAGAACACACTATGTAATCCAATAATATCGGCATTTGATGTCTGCCATTCATATTGCAAACTCGTCTTTTATCAATTCAACTTATAACTGTTGTATCTGACGTCAGAGACGTCAAATGCACGTGCTACTCATGGTTGCAATCGGCATAGCTGGCAAACGCAATGCGTCGCTCTAGCAATTTACCTCCCATGTAGTCACTGAGTGAGTCAGCCATCCCAGCCTCAAGTGTGCTCAAGAGCTTACGCATTAAATAAGCACAAATGAAGCCAATTGTAAAACTCAAGCAAAAATAAATATGTATAAGTCGAGTACCACGTACGCACACAAATGATAAATAAAAGGTGTGATTGCGTGATTTGCTTATCAAATGTTGTGATTGCTCGCAACATTGCCAGAAGAATAACACCCAAAAATAGCCGCGCACATTATTTCATCGATATTCATGAGGCACTGCTCCGCATGAAGTTCAGCGACTGCCGCTATTGATGTTTGCATAAAAAATTGTTGGCTACGATCAAGGTCAGTTAATCGCTGGCTGTTTGCTGGTTGGCTGATAACCGCGTGAAAGTGGGTGTGAATGCGCTTTGCCAATTGCCGGTGTGCGCCCATTAAATATGCGCCAAGTAAACAACTCGTTAGTGATTTTGTAGAAATTCGGTAGTTAAGGCAATGGCATACTTATGCATGTATATAATTTTTTCACAAATAATACTATTGCGCGAAATATGTATATATTAAACCGACTGAAATCGCACTAGTCCAAAAAAATGCAAACTGGAACTAATTATTTCTTCGTATCAAAGATCATTTAATAAGAAGTGGCGATTGATAGTTATTCGCGCGTTTATCGAAAGTTCCTCAACAAAGACAGTCCAACATAGTTTTCTAGAATAGACAATGAAGCTATATAAAATCAAAGCGGGCACGACCGAATTCCACTGATTGAACTCGAAGTGTATTTAGGTTAGTTATAAAAGTTCTTCAACTTCAATGAAATGATCGAATTGCATACATAAGTGCTTAAGATTGAAGAAGGTGCGAGGTCGTAAAAGACCCGGTCCGACGAAAATCTACAATAATGGGTGATTAATTTTTCAAATTTTGATCTTACCTAGGCAGTTAATGAAAGGCCTTCGGGTGTATTTCTGGCATAAAATAAAAGCTCTATAAAAATCCATCAGCCATGCGTATACGGCATAGAATAGTACTGTATGTCCCTCCATTTCCTGGAAAACATCATGATGCATACCACAAATTGGAGCAGGAGCTTGGCCGAAAATCGCTTCAGCGATATATGTATGTAAGTAGCCCAGGTGAATGCCTTGAGTAACACTAAATGTTACTGATATTTCATGAGACGGGTAATATTTAATAATTACTCTTTTTTTTTGCTACCATACAAGTACTATGAAATCCCCTTGAGAGAGAAATTTGTGCTATAGCGTAGTGTTTAAGATGTTTAAGCCAAATCCTCCACACTCTTGACCGCACTGCTTAGTTTAGGGACGCTGTCTAAATCATGCGCTTACCCAAAACACTAGTACTGTGTGGTAAATTACACTTCGCGGCATACTTATTGAAGTAGTTTTTGAGTTTGAGTAGTTCATTCGCCTGCTGGGCTTAACTGATTTCGTTTAAATATTGCCAAAAAGTGCTGCTGAATATTTGAGCCATTGTTGTTCTTGTTGATTATGCACTAGCCGCTTGATAGCCGTTGGCCTTGTCGTGTTGTTTGTTTTGGTAATTTAGAGTTCTGAAAGCTTTTGGTAATGAAATTAAATGGCCAATTTGCAACTTTTCTTGTTGGTGACTGCGGAAGCTAATGTTGGTTATGATTTATGTATTTTTTTTGTGTTATTCCATATATTTTTTGTTTGTACTTGTATTAAAAAGGAGTAAAAAAAAACAAAGAGTAGGCAGTAAAAAGTCAAGGTTCTACTAAATAAAGTTTATTTTTGTAGTTATTGAGTGGCACATTTTGCTTTGAACACACGAGATATGAACACACACATCTGTATATAAAACTACAAGAAAATTGGCAAAAAAAATATTTGCTTATGTTTTATGTTCAAATATTTTTTCCTTGTCCACTTAATAAAAATGGTCAGCAGCAAAGAAAATATTGACAGCAATTTGTCCTTGACATTGACACCCAACTGACACAAACACAAACAACTACGAGTGCTGTCACTTAATGCGAGCGAGTAAAATCACCACGAATGCTCTCGTTCCATACTTCAAGCAATCAAGTGATCTCGTCACAACAGTTGCAACAAAAACAATAAAAGCAGGAAAACCACAACTAACATCATCGCTGCCACCCCTACCGCTCACTTGCTGCTGCAAGAAAGTGGATAGTGGCGAGAAAAGTAAATAATTGACATTAATTTGATTGTCATAAATGATAGCGAGTAAATCTACATACATATGTGTGTACGTAAGCTTACTAATGCTTGTTGTTGTAAGTGATAGTGAAGAAGACAAGTCATCATGAGATGCCGCTCGCCTGACACTGGGTCTTTAACGGCTTTTATTAACGGGTTAAAATGTCAATGCCATTGAGTCGTCGAGTTGTCGAGTCGTCGAGTCGTCAGGCAGTGCCGTTAAGCAATGTGTTGTCTGTAGTGATAATAACAATTTAGGTTGTGGAATATGGTTGTAAATATGTACATATAAATACATATATAACTACTATGTATAAATTGCACACACACACATGTATGTATAAACACGCGCTGGCCGTCCACCAGCGTGCTAAAAGCTGTAGTTCTGTCTGTCTGCCTGTTTGTTTATTTCGTTTGTTTGTATGTCATTTCCCCCGCCAAAATGTTTCTAAATGATTTGATTACTCACACAGCAAGTGCTACGACAACAACAACACAACAGAGAGCAATCGTCAGCTGAAAACAGACAAGTCGCGCACGTTTTTGCCTTGCATTTTTGGAATTTATGAATGAAACTAACTTTGGCGCGCTTATTGATACAAATGTTGGGTCTTATCAGCTCACTGAATTGTATAAATTGAATAAAATTACTCTATATACATACTTACCTACATACATAGATACATTTGTATGTACATACTATGCATGAAACTCATTGTCTAACGGCCTGCTGACAAAATTAATTACTACCAGCTGTTGTATGCATGGATAATGGGTTTTAATAGGTCTATAGTTTTGAAAATAACAGTTTGATTTGCTCTTATCTCTTTCAATAAAAATCCATTAGTATTCATGTTGGTGATTAATTTTAGATTTTTGCTTTGTCAGACTTGTTTGCCGCCCCGACGTTCCTTTTAACGCGTATTGTTTTTTTTTTATAAAGAAAAATTGTGAAAAGAAATAAAAAACATATAACACAGCGTTTATCAGCATCGATAACGCAATTAAGCTTTTGTTAGCGGGTTGGGTTTTCTAATTATGAAATTAATCTTGAAAAGGCATTTATTTACATGTGCTCGGGTATTTTTGTATCTCCAGATTTTTTTTCGAAGGAACATGGTGGAAATAAAATCGAAATTCACCAAACTCAGATTAATCTTTCTTCCCTTAAACTGTCTCTTATAAACCAATTGTAGTTTATTTTATTTTACAGTCGACGAAAAATAAAGTTCTCTATTCACCGCGTATTTTTTTACGTACGACCACGCACAGCTGCTTTTGGAAGAGGCTTCCGATTTTGATAATTCTTTTTTTTTTTGTAGAAGAAGAGTATAAACTAAATGGTCCCATGGATAGCTGGAAAAAATTTTTACTCCACCGCAGAATCATTCTTTCCAACAGGTAAGACTGGTCTAAGTAGGCAATTGAAAAGCAAAGTCCTCTCCCGATGAACGAAAACCTAATATGGTGCATGCATGGACGATCTCGATAGCTGATGAGTCGGTTTTGGGAGTCTTCGAGAGAAAAGTTTTGCGCACTGGCAACGGCGAATACCGCAGACGATAAAACGATGAGCTGTTCAGCAAATGCAGGGTTAGCGGCTACGCTGGCTAGGTCATGTCGTCCAATTGGATGAAAGAACTCCAGCTTTGAAAGCATTCGGTTCAGAACCCGCCGGTGGAAGCTGAGGAAAAGGAAGACCTCCACTCCGTTGGAAGGATCAGTTGGAGAGTGATGTGGCTTCACTTGGTATTTCCAATTGGCGTCAGATAGCGGAAAGAAGAGAGGTATGCCAACGCCAATAAAGAAGAAGAAGATATAACAGTAAAAATAAGGCAGTATTTTGAATTAAATATTTGAGCTACGAAAAAGGTATTAAGAAATGAAGCATGATGTAATTAGTAGATTAGAGTCACAAAAAAAATATAAATAAAAAGCTTTAAAAAATAATGAAATCACCGGAAAACTAAAAAGCAAAAATAATTTACTTTTTTGTATCTGGCCTTGATATATGAATTCTAAAACTAGTTTTGAGTCGACGCTTAAGGGGTAAGCTGGACTGGAACTTAAAAAAAATATAAAATTTTATTGAAATGTGCTTTGGGATGTTGGAAATAACATACCAAAAGATGAATGCCGACAAAAACGTCGAAGTGCCCAAATTTTTCATTCGACGGCAGTGCCTTGTAGGTTTTCCTCGAAATCGCTTTTTTTAAACTGGCCGAAGAGATAACTCCAAGAAATCTTCACGGACTCTTACGAAATTTTAACAGTACAATCGAATTGTCGTTCTCCAGAGACGTACGTAGGACTTTTTTAAATTATGTCCTTTTTATAAGGAAAATTGTAGCTTTTTATTCAAATGTGCACCATTTCGCGAAAAAAATAACAAAATGCCGAAAAAATCCAACTTACGTCTCCTTCTGTTGTTATTAGAAAAAATGCTTCTTCGGAAAAGAGCTGAACAGCGGCCATTTTGAAAATTAATACAGAGAAATGCACGAATCTTTATTTGAATCGATAGTACGGTCCATACAATTTATTGTTTGAAGTTTATTTCATGCAAATGTTGACCGTGACAGCGTCTCAATGGCCTATCCGCCTAGTCCAATTTTAACATACTCTTTCCAACATTCCGGCCGGTATCTCACGATACCGTCAATTGAAGCGGGCTTGTCTGTGGCATAGATTTAACATAGCCCCACAAAAAATGGTTTAAAAGAGTTAAATCGCACGATCTAGGCGGCCAATTGACCGGTCCCGAACGTGAAATAAAATTTTCACCGAAGTCGCCTCTCAATAAGTTGTTACGCGTGATGTGTGGCATGTGGCACCGTCTTGTTGAAATCACGGGTCATGCAGGTCAAGCTCTTGAATTTTGGGCAAGAAAAAGTTTGAAATCATCTCACGGTAGCGCCCACCATTCACAGTTACGTTACGATTTGCATCATCTTTGACTTTTTCTGGATGCATTGGTAGCTCTTGCAATGCTTTTGACTTCTTCACTCCAAAATCAATAAATCTGCTTATTTACGCACCCACTAAGCCGAAAATGATCTTCGTCGCTAAACACAATTTTTCGAACTTTCTTAATAGAGCACGCATTTTGATAATAAAATTCAATAATTTGCAAGCGTTGCTCGTTTGCAAGACGACAAACGATTCATGGTTAAATTATAGACCAAACTGAAGATGTTTGACAGTGACACAAAACACGAAACGTGCCTCAGCTGTTTAAACCAGTGTTGCCAAAAAGGTAGTAGCTAAAAAGTCACCCTTTATATAACTCCTATTCACTGAAAAATATGACCAAAGCCAAGGCATTGCCAAAAAGACATCTGAGAGTATGAAATTCGGTATTATACATACGTACATACAAGTAAACATTGCCAACGAAATCCATCGAAATCGCACAACTAAATCATATACTCCCGTCCAACCAATTTTTCGGTTATGAGAATTAATATTTAATCCTAAAATGAAATACCATATATTTGATATGGTCATGAATGGTATAAAGACTTCGTCTTCGACTTTCTTTTTTTATTTTATTTTATTATTTTCTATATTTATTTTATTATTATTTTTTTTAAATAATGTTTTTTTTATTTATAATATATTTTTTTTTTTTTAACGAAAAAGTTACCTACTTCATCTATATATTTTAGATTTCAAGCGCGTTGACATTCATTGATTTTTTGCGTTTTCAATTTAATTTTCAATTCGATATTTCCTTTTACGGCAGATTCGCGAAATACTTAAAAGAGATTAGCATTGTTTTTGAGGTTGCTTCTTCCTCTATTTGCCGTGGAATTGTTGGGTGTGAGAGAATCCGCGTCGCGTCGTCCAACAGTGACCGCATTTTTGTATTTACACTCATTCACGTGATTACTTGGAAGGCATTCAACTAACTACTAATTAGATATTTGCAACAAACATAACTGTTCAAAAATTGTAGTAAAAAGAAATCCATTATTTTTGCACGAAATTTAAGGCTTTAATTACCAGAGTTAGAATTATCCGATTTAGGTTAAATATGCG